CACAGGAGAGAAGGAATTATGTTAAAGCACTCTCGATAAAGAGTTTTGTCCAAGGCTATGATATATCTTTCTGTTTGGGACTATTACATACATAGCTAAGACAACAGAGCCTTCTGCAAAACTAGAAATATGTTTTTTTCTATCTCCCTCTCATCAGGGAAACTTTATAGGCTATGTAGAAACTATTGCAGAGTCAGTTAGTATCACAAACACTTAATCGAGCTTGCTTTATTTTTGTACCTACATTCTGCTCCGCTATTCTTACCTAATGCCTAATTACTTTTAAGCTGACCATAACCTTCAAATTTCAGCTTTGAAAATCTAATAAATACAGTAATAACCATATAACAAATTTGGAGTCCTAGTTATTTTCATTCCTTATTCAGGTGTTCTCCAGCAGCAGCTCTCCTAGTCTTTTTGTTGCAACCAGGGTTGTTTGGTCTATTTATCAATATTTTTCTTGATTTTAGTATTTTTCATTTCATTAACTTGCAAGCAATGCTGATTCTTAATATGTTTTTTTTTTTTTTTAGCTTGGTTGAGCACTGTATTACTTGTAGTAGTATTAACAGCATTAATTATAGTACTTAATAATGCTGGCATGTATTTTATTTAATTTGTTTATCCATAATGAAAATGTGTATTCTGCTTGGTTTGGAGTCAAATTATATTTTACAAACCAAAGCAGGAAATTTGAAATGTAAATTTCAGCAGCATATAAAGGATCTATGAAGACCCTCAAATGACTGTGAAAATTCAAATGCTTATGTTGGTGGCAGTTAAAATTTAGCATGTACTGAAGAGCTGCATTATGTCAGCTGCGTTATGACAAAGAATGAGAAGTCACCATATGGCTCAATTTTTCCAAATAGCAATTTCTTAGGCATTTAGAATTTTAATTTTCCAATTGAATTTTAACTAGTATGTTGTAACTACAACTGGCAAGTTGAACTTCAAATGTGGTTTCTTTGATTCAGGACAAGAATGGGAGTTTAAAAATGGGGTTTGGTAACTGTAAAACATTCCAAACGTGGTTTTTTTTAAGTTATTAGTGAGGGATGAATCTCACACCATGCTTTGAACGTGACCAAACTGAAGGTGCAATTATGAGTAGGCTGAAAATTTCAACAAAAGTCTTCACTTCCACACTTCATTGGCAAACAATTTGAAAACAATCCACATTTATCATAGTACTCATCGAAATAGTCTAGTTCTTTCGCTCAGGGTGCTAAGAGTCAGGCTTTCAGCTCTGCAGCACAACTAGTTGGAAACTTCCTGATAAAAGTTTCATCAGCAAATGCAGAGCCCAATGTATTTAATTCAAAACACTTCAGAATTTAATGATAAGCCTAATGTATGTTTACCTGGGTTTCCAGCATACGCTTGAGTTTCTGGCAGACTGAAGATCTGGATGCGTGTCTCTCTTGCACACCATCGGGTAGGACCTGTGTGGCACAGAACTCCCATCACAGGGGCCCCAACTCTGGGTTCACAGCCCTGAGTTTCCAAGGTCAACACAGCACAGGACGTGGTCCCAAACTGCTACTAATCAGAATCTTGATGTTCCGTGCCCATGGAGGTAATTCATCCAGGGAACATCATGACAGTTTCTCAATAATTTTTAAAACTGGTTTTAAAAGTAATCTGAAAACTCGTTTTATATGAACCCAGACAGCCAACACTTTGAACACAGGCCAAAAAGGCAGCTGTCCTCTAGTGACTGATCGCCAAGGATAGGATCTGCTGAGGCTCCCAAATCCTCAAGAGGAGTATTTTTCCTTCCAGAAAACTGCTCCCTCCCCCAGTGTAAAGATTGTCTTGCCTTTCACCCCTAACCCAATACCTTCAAGTTTCTGAAAACACTTTTTCAGCAATGAAGGGTAAACAGTTTTATCCTCAGAGAAAATCATAGATAATCAGAATTTGATCTACACAAATCTCATTTACTGGTTGTTCTGAACCCTGCAGTTCTATTCACAGAGAGATGATCTCTCTTTATCCTGCCTGTTCTGCCTTCACCACTTTTATGGTACTTCAAAGATATATCAAAGCATGGACTACACTACAGCCATGCACTACACTAGCACAGGCTTTCTGTGTAATGTCGAGTTAGAACTGCTCTTCTGCTCAGAGAGAATAGATGGGTAGGAGGAAGTCTAAGAGCCTATTGACAGGCTAAGCGAAATTGTAACTATGATGAATACTATTTCTGTATTGTCCAGTCTTAAACCAAAAAGAGATTGGCTGAAGCAAACCAATTAATGATTTTTTTCCTTTTTTTACTGAATGTGACGATAGCAGTCATATTCTCTGCTATGTTACCAGGATGAGCCTGGGGAAAGTTCTAACTGGAATTTCCATCACCCAAAGGAGACGTCAGAACTCTGAAGTTTTCCTCATTTTAAACCGTAACTATCTCATTTATGTTGGGTTAGAAGTGGAAAACACAGCCTGAATCGGGAAGGTAACTAACTGGGCGCACTCTCGCTCAGCTCCGACCGTGCAGCCCCCGCTGGAGCTGTCACGCGAGACCCGCGCAGAGGCCGTTCCTGGCAGCGTTCCGAGGTCACGGACTCGCTGCCCTCGGCTGGCCTTGGACGCTCCTGCGACTGCTCGGCCAGGGTGACTCTGCCGTTCTCTGTCGCAGCTCCAGGGCACGAGGTCAGAGAACGTCCCTTTCATAACCGTCACTAGGACATGACGCGAAGAAGCGCCCCAGCGCTGCCCGGGGCAGCGGCTGCCCTGTGCCGAGGGGCCGCCTCAACCGTAGGCGGGTCGGTGCCGCGCTGCCCCCTGCCCCGTGGAGGGACCCCAACAGGGACAGGCGCCTCCCTACCGAATCCGCGGGGCCCCGCGGAACACACGGAACGTCCCGCAAGGCCGCGGGG